CTATTTATATATAGATATTCTATAGTATAATATATATCTATATATATATATATATTATATACATGTGCCTGTATATACATACGTATAATATATATACATATAATCTATATATATTATATATATATAGATATATATATATATATAGAGATAGCTAGATAATAGATAGATAGATAGATAGATAGATCAATAGATATAATCTATTTAAATAAATATCTATATCTAATATATATATTGCATATATATACATATATATATATATATTATCTGTATATATATATTATCTCTATTTATATAAATAGTATAGTATATATATGTATTTATTTATTTTATTTATTCATATACACATTACTTTTGCTTGTACTTTATATATATATATATATATAATATTCTATATCTATATACTATATATATATATATATCTAATATATATATCTTTACTATATATATATTAAATATTATTATATATCTCTATTTATATATATATATATATCTCTATAATTATCTCATATATTTACATATATCTCTATATCTCTATATATTATTTACTAGTATATCTATCTATAAATTCATATATCATATATATATATATATACTCTATATATTTCGTATCTCTGTAATGTGTATTATATATATCTATATATATTATCTATCGATTTAATATATATATACATCTCGCTATAATATATATGTTATATCTATTATTGTTATCTTTTACTTATGATATGTCTGTGTATGTCAACTTATATATATATATATATATACTCTCATCCTATATATCTATATATATACTATCATATATATATACCTCTATATCTAACGTTTATCTATTGTGTCAATGTATATTATCTATCATCTAGGACTATAATATATATATCTATATATCTAATATCTCTATATATCATATTGTATACTTATTGTATATCTATCTATATATATATATTTATCTCTATCATATTCTATATATTATATACATATGTATATATGTATTATGTCTATACTATATATAATACTATAATAGATTATCGAGATATATATCGATCTATATAGAATATATATATATCAATATTATAGTATATCGTATGTCTTCTCTCAATAAATAGATACATATCTATATATATCATCTATCTAATATCTATCATCTATATACTCAATTATATCTATATATTCTCTAATCCTCTCATATTTATCTATATCCATATCTCTATCGTCTGTTTATATATATCATATCTACTATCATATATCATTATTCTTAGATATATGTATAGATATTATATCTCCATCTATATATTCTATATATATCTCTAAGTATTATATCATATATCTCATATATAGATATATATCTATACATATACTCTATATATATATTCTATATCTATATATTCTATTTATAAAAAATATATCTGATATATCCATATATGTGTGTGTGTGTTGTGTGTGTGTGTCATAAACCTTATATATATATATAATATATATAGATGTATATATATATATATATTATATATCTATATAATATACTATATAATCTAGCTATATATCATATATATTAAATATATATATATTATATATATATATATTATATATATATATCTATATATATATATTATATCTGTATTATATATATATATATATATATATATATATATATATTATATATATATATATTTATATGTATATATATTATATATACAATATATATATATATATATAGATATATATATATCTATATATATATATTATATATTCATATTATAGTTATATGTATAATATATATATATACTATATCTCTCTCTCTACTCTATCTCTCTCTTCTATCTATATATCTATCTACTCTATTTACCTCTCTCTCTATCTCTTCGTCTTCTCTGCTCTCTCTATCGCCTCTCTCTCTCTTATCTATCTATATATCTATCTTTCCCTCATCCTCTGCGTTCTATCTATATCTCCTATATAATCTCATACTCTCTATCTCATCTCTATATATATATATTCTATATATCCTCTCTCATCTCTTATATCTATATACTCTCTCCTCTATATTATATATAATATATATTCTCTATCTATATCTCTCTACTCTATCTATTTCTATGTATATATATCTCGTCACTCATATCATCTACTCTCTCTATCTATATAATCTATATATATCTACTCTATACTCTTTCTCTATATATCTCTGTATATATATCTCTCTAATAATTTATCTTCTCTCTCTCTCTCTCTCCTCGCCTCTCTCTTCTCTCTCTCTCTATTTCTCTGTCTCCTCTCTCTCTCCCTTATATATCTATCTCTCTCGACATATCCCTCTCGTCTCTCTTATATCTATCGCTCCTTATCTCTTTCTCTCTCTCTATCTATCTCTCTCTCTCTCTTCTCTCTATATATCTCTACTATATCATCTATCTATATCTCTATCTGTACGACTCATTCTTCTATTATCTCTCATAGATCTCTCTATATCTAATTATTTTCTTTCATCTATATCTCTCTTCTCTATCTC